CGTTTTGCACCGTTTATTGACTCAGATGAAGTTTTCATCTCCAGTGAGTTATCGGGGGGGGGGGGGGTTTGTCACCTGGTGTCGTCCCCGCACGGCCAGTCTCAGGCTCGATCCGCCCAGCGGTCACATTTCACCATTCCTCGCCATTTTCTTGTGTTTTTTAAAGCTTGGCCTCACGAGACTTACCGTGGTTTCTTGCTTAAGTGAGGAGTTGCATCAGAAGCTGGGAGTCAGCGAGCCGTGCCCGTTTCCCGCCACTGCTATGCTCTGCCCAGCCTGGGGTGGGGGGTGTCAGGCGGTTTCTGCAGTGTGTGGGTATGCCGTGTAATCTCTCTCACCAATCTTTCTGCGAGTCCTGCTAGACAGCCTGTAGGGGGCGACGTGGTGGAACATTCTGTACGCGTCACTCTGACACAGAGCTGTGTGTTCGTGTGTGTTCCTCCTCCTAGGCGAGTGTGTTTGCGTGTGTTCCTCCTCCTAGGCGAGTGTGTTCGCGTGTGTTCCTCCTCCTAGGCGAGTGTGTTTGCGTGTGTTCCTCCTCCTAGGCGAGTGTGTCTGCGTGTGTTCCTCCTCCTAGGCGAGTGTGTCTGCGTGTGTTCCTCCTCCTAGGCGAGTGTGTTTGCCTCTGTTCCTCCTCCTAGGCGAGTGTGTTTGCGTCTGTTCCTCCTCCTAGGCGAGTGTGTTTGCGTCTGTTCCTCCTCCCCTTGGGACTGTGTTTCTGCAGGTCCCAGGATCCCCTGCTCCCAAATCTGGCCACACTGCTTTGTGTCTGTATGGTTGGGGGGGGGGGGCGAAGGGGGAGACTGGCTCCAGCTCCCATAGATCACAACTGATCTCAAGGTAAAAATGGCACCCAGCAAAAATGGCCAAGCATGTGTGATATAACCTGTGAAACAAAAACTGTCCATATGCCTTAGTGAGAAAAACCCTTGGCCAGAAGGGGTGTATTCCTGTTTGCCCTTTTGGCTTATCTCCTGATAGGAAGCTAAAAGCACACATCAGGTCCCTTGAGACATGCACCCTCCTGACACCCACCCAAGCCCCCGCCCAAGCCCCCGCCCGGCATGGCCTCTGACCCCTGCCGCCTTGCGATGATAGCCGAATTGTGTCATTAATACTGTGCCAATCCTCTGTAGCCAAGACCTCTTGGTTTTATTAAAGCACTTCGACCCTCGCTGGGGGGTCATACCACCCCCCCCCCACACACACACACACACACACACTGGACCCATGGGCCTACCTTTGCTTTTACGGCCTGCATCTGCTGCTGGTCTGAGTTGGGGCCAGTTCAGTAAGAAGGTGACCTTTGGCCTCATGTCAATGGTCAGTGGGGAGGATAATGGAGGAGAAGCTGTATAAGGTATATGAGGGAGTCTGGCCGTGTTGGGTGTCTGTCTGCTTATTCACCCCTCCACTCTGTTATAAATGTCACTCTCTGTCTGTTTTGATCCCTCCCTCTCGATTTTGTGCCGTTTGCTTCATCATAAATAAAGATCGACGGCCGTCCTTAGCGCCCGCGCCTGCTTTGGCCGTTTTCTGCTCCCACGTCTCAACACGTCATCGATCCCGTTGATGGTGACCCACCATCTCTGAACAACTTACTTCTTGGCTGGTAAAGTGAGCGGCCGTGCAGTGTTATTGAGCCCTGGGAGGTAGGGCTGTAAACAGTGACCTTTAGTCTGGGCTCCCGTCCAACCAGTGAGAATTAAGCAAGGGCCATTTCAGGGCCATTGTATCGCCAGAAAGGCCAATCTGTTAAATGTAAAGACGCTGGTGGTACTTTAAGCCAGACCCCATTTCTCCTTAATTGCTCCAGCCCCCACCATCTTCGTAAGAGGATGTAACCGCTCCTGCTCTGGTGGGCCTGTAACCCCGCATGGCCTTTCCAAATGTACAAACAGCGACTCAGCATGCAGCAATTTCCCCTAATTGCTCTCTTACATTCTGTAACCCTCAGTCATTGGGAGGGTAGCACCGTAAACATCTGGACTGGGGAGTTGAACGGCTGCTCACGCCATGACGTTTGAGGCCAGGGTCACGTGACCCGACCCAAATGGTCGCAGCGTCTGAAGGGGCGTGACAAGCGTGGAACCCTCAGTGACTCCCAACAGCGGCCTGGTTTTCCCAGGGTGCCCCTGGTGCCCCATGGTCCCGCATGGGATTCGGAGCTGCAGATCCCGGAGAGTCTTTTCGGGGAAATCTATCATGCATGAGTGAGCGGAGGGTGGATGCAAGCTGGACCGGCTTGGAGATCATCAGATAGCGGGAGGCTTTCATCAGGCGTGACGAACTCTCTGGAAACTGATGATAAATGCAGAATAAATACACAATTAAATGCCCCCCCCCCCCCCCGACAAGTTCGCTGTCCCCTCGGCTTCTCCTGTCTCGGTCACATTCAGCCACTCATCTAAACTCCCGTGAACATTTTTTGGGGATCAGACAGAGGGCCCACCCTCCTCACAGGCCAAGATTGCTGACTCATTCACGGCCCTGCTTGGCAAGACCTGTCTGTCCCGGATCCGTGCATCTCATCTCTGCGGCAGCAGCTGCCCCATCATTTAACGGCTTGTCAGCAGCCCTATGGCAACAGGGCAGTGAGTCAGAGGGTCTGATGGCACATCTGGCCAGGGTTCAGTTCCCGGCCGTTCTCTGCTTTTTAGGGTTTGTAAGAGTCTTACTTATCGACGCAAATGTTTTTTATCCAGTGATGTGATTCCCACAGATTCCTTCCCTGTTTGCGATTTTTAAAGTTGTTAAAGTTTCTAACACCATAATTCTCACCACGTCAGACCAGAAACTTAATCCTTGCTCTCTTTATCGCACTCTCCAGGGGCTGATGGGTAAATAAATTACACGTGCAGGTGTGTGCCGAATGCTTTTCATTTGCTCTCCCATTTCAGTACCTTTGCTTTGCCTTATTGAAGGTCTCACCCTCAGGCCTTCAGGCTTGGGGTCCTGCGGCTTCCTGGTGTCTGATTTCCACACACAGAGAGGATTTATTCCTTCATTTGTTTCGGTGTCATAAAGCTAGGAAGGTTTGGCCCAGAAAGCCTATGTGCATATCTGCTGGAGGTACCGCCGCCGCTTTTCATGTCGCCCTCCTGGTGGTTTGAACCACGTTTGTCGCTGCGACCTTACAGTTGTGCCATGACCCTCAGCTTTGCGGTGCCTTTTGGGCGTCTTCAACTTCCTGCTCTCTTATGTATAATTTACCGCCACCCTAGACCCGTCTGGGAACAAGGCAGCATCTGCTAACTCTGAAAAAACATGAACAATGACTGACTTCTCATTGATGTAAATATTTAAAATTTGCCTGCAGGCAATATGTACAATCGAGGGTCTGCACCATGGAGGTCTGTGCTTGGGCAGTGTGTGCGATAGAGGTCAACACCAGGGGGGTCTGTGCAATGGAAGTCTGTACCAGGGTGATCTGTGGGATAGATGTCTGCACCATTGAGGTCTGCACAGAGGTGGTCGCTTTAGGGCTGTCTGCATGATGGAGGTCTGCGTCAAGGTGGTCTGTATGATGGAAGTCTGCACCGGGGCAATATATGTGATGGAGGCCTTTCCTGAGAGGATAGTTTCTCTCACACACAGACATATGGCAGGCAGTGAGTCCAGCTCTAGGTCGGCGAGGCTTCAGTATATAAAAACATTAACACTGGTGTCTTCAGCCTCAAGTCGCCAATCACATGTCAGACATGCTGACTGGGACCCATGTGGGAGGTTGAGGTATCAGGCTCGCATCAGGGTAGGATTCAGTCACTGGTATTGGTGGCAGCCGCCCCATGTGGGGTCAGGCCCCTGAGGGGGGGTGATAACATCTTCCCCTGGAAGCCCCACCTCACTTTCTCTGATGAACAGAGGTGGCACCACATTGCTAGGAGTGTGACAAGTGCGGAGCCGAGACAGATCAGACAATTTTGGATATGAAATGTTTAGCAAAATCAAATCTGATTCTGATTAGAGCGGAAGGGGGCAGGGGAGGCAGGACCCCTGAAAGTGCTTTGATTTCTCCGGAACAGTGATCCCAAGAGGTGGGGTTATGGAATGGCATCGATTACAGTCTGGACCGGCTGGTGGCGGTAATCTCGGACCTGGTGGCCTCCCGGCCTGTGGAGGGCGTTTCATTAAAATCAGGTCAACCTGCACACACAAGCCGATGAGGGACGTTGCTGGGTTACTGGGTGGTGGCAGGGGTGATGTTGCCAACGTAGCATGTTAGAGTAGTGGGACGCACGTGCCCCCGCCGCCCCCGAAAAGGATGATTGCCAGCAGCAGAGCCGTTATTATCATCAGAGCAGTGCGCTGCAATCTGTAATTATCGCCATAATTATGTGCCGGGTCCGGCGGGCTCCAGAGAGCGGTCCGATTCGGCGGTGACGCCCCTGTAGAAAGCCCAGTGAAAATAACTAAAGTCCCCCCCCCCCAGGATGGTCTGTCTTAAGTGCCCCCCCCCCCCATGGCATTCCCATTCACAGAGCGGCCCATTATCAGAGATGTGTCTTATCATAATTACATGTTTGTCAGAGCCGCGCCGCCATACAGAGGCCGCTGATTAGCGGGGGAAGCGTATTGATTTCTATTGACAGGCCTCTCAAAGCACGTTAATGAAATGTGTGTAAATGAGATTCCAGCGGCTGAGCAGCCAGCGGGCGGGGGGGAGCCCAGCCGGGTCGCCGTGGGGACCCCAAGCGGCTGGGCTGGCGTGTTTCGACCTTTTTATTGGTGGCATTCGCCTGTCTGGCCTGAGAACATGCGTTTTTAAAAAGGTGAAGCTTTCAGGAAAGTTCTCTCCACAGCTCGGCCCAGATTGTGCATCCTTTCGGGTGTCTCCCATTCCTAGGTGTCCTCAGGGTGACCATACATTAGCCTTTGGTCCTGGGTTACTGGGGACCTCTTGCCGGGGGTCTCCTCCGCAACTGAGAGGATGGTTCAAACATGGTTCAAACGGTCACGTTATGGTTTAACTGCTGCTAACCAGCTTCTCTGCCCCTCAGCCGGCCGGCCCCCAGCAACCACGACCGGATACAGAGGCTCCGACATGAGTTCCAGCAGTCCCAGCAGGACGAGGACTCGGACCTGCGGCGCCGCACCTACAGCTTCGAGCAGCCCTGGGTGAGTGTCTAGACCCGGCCCCGACTGGTCCTGGCCCAGCGGACCGCTCACTAACTGCTCCCGTGGCCTTCCTGCTGACGGTCACTGTGCCTGGCCTCTGCACCCTAACCCTCTAACCAGCCCCCTCCCCTGCACTGCCTTCACACTGGACTTGGCTCGCGGCCCCCCCACCCAATCACATCCTGCTTGTTCTCAGCGCCCGGCTGCTGCTGGACCTCTTTCTGAGCTGGTGCCGGCTGCTTTTTGGCCTGTTATCCCCTCTGTTGACTGTCTGTAACCACGTGCAAACCGCCATCCTGTCAGCTGATCGTGTCTTTTTTTTTTTTTTTTTTAAACCCAACGAACAATAACACTGCCGTTATGGTCCCTGATCTCCAGGAATTATCTGGAATGCTTGCAATTGAATTAGGGAGCCATAATCTTCAAACCTCGCCGTTTTCAAAGTCAACATTAAAGAAACACTCGCCTCACTTTCAACACTGTCTCCAGGATTAGTCGGACCGTGACGGTAACATGCCTATTTTGTTTTTGCAATCCAGACTTTGGGTCTTGGCTACAGATAACTTTTTATGTTTTGCTGTTTATCCAACATGCAAAGCTAATTTTTGCAGATGCTTTGAACCTTTTTGAGAATCCGTCATATTTTTGGTTTTCTTGTCTTGTTTTTCTACTGTAATCTAATGTAATTTCTCGGTAATTTAAAAGAGAAATTTGGTCAGTTTTGAAAATAGCAATCCATTTTAAGCTGTTGGTGATAGTTCTAATGCTGTTCTTATCTCCATAAATGTGTGGAATTGTGCTTGTTTTAGAGTATGATGTCAGAAATATGATTCCATTGTAAGTGATTTTTCGTGTTCGTTTTTGCCTTTATTGTTGAGATACACATCCAGACGTGGCCTGATAGTGGTTTTATATTATTAGGTTTTGCTGAAATATTGTCTTTCAATGTCACTGTACCCAAAGATTTGCATTTTAAAGTCACAGTTTTTATATTTAAGGAAGCCCAATAAATTTGTCTTAATTTTAATGGGTCTGTTTGCTTTGGTCTGGTTGAACGACACTCCAAATCTCACCAATGTCATGTGGTGTTTGTATCTTTGAGTTCGAGGACGTACCTTATTTTATCTTATCTGCGGTGGGAAAACACACGGCCCATGCACCCTGGGAATGGAGCGGCGGAAGTCAAAGGTCGCATTTCTGTGCCCCTTTCTAACGTGTAGGCTGAGAGGCCTTATCCACCGACTTCCTGTCCAGAGTGCGAAGGGAACTTTAAAGATGACAGTTTAATCGCTCCCTTTAACCAGAGCCATTTCCTAAATTATGGTCTGTAATACTGCCCCCTTCAACACTAACTGTCATTGGTGGAATGCCACCAATCACTGTCCATCATTCAGAAGGTGAAAGCTGAGTTTTTATTGAGGTAAACACCTGATTTACTTTAAGAAAAAGTTTGTGTTCTTCAAACCCAGTGGGTGCTCAAGAAGGTTAACTGTGGAGAGCATGGAAGTGAAGACATGGCTGGCCCTCATCCTGCCCCATCTCTTCCCATCCCTTCTGTCCTGTCCCATCCCATCTTATCCCATCCCATCCTGATTTGTCCCATCCTGTCCCCCTTCTGTCCCCTCCTGTCTTGTCCTGTCCAATCATGTCCTGTTCTGTCCCATCCTGACCCATCTCATCCCTTCCTGTCCTGCCCCGAGTTCTTATGTGCTGTCATGTCCTTTCCTGTGCCTTCCTGTCCTGCCCGAGTTCTTATGTGCTGTCATGTCCTTTCCTGTCCCTTCCTGTCCTGCCCCGAGTTCTTATGTGCTGTCATGTCCTTTCCTGTCCTGTCCTGACTCATCCCCTCCTGTCCCATCTTGCCCCCTCCTGCTCTGACTTGTCACATCCTGACCTTTCCCCCCTGGTCCTGTTCTATCCTATTCCATCTTGACCCTTCCTGTCCTTGCCTGTCCTGTCCCATATTTTCCCACCGTATTCCGACTCATCCTCTATTGTCCTGTCCCGTCCCATCCTGACTTGTCCCTTCCTGTCATGTTCCATATTTCCCTTCCTACCTCCTAGAATAAAGTTCTTTTCTCCATGAACAGCGTTCTGTCTGATCACAACCAGACTCCTCAGTATAGAATGCTTTCTCCAGCCCGGTCCGGTTGAGTCTGGCCCGGTTGGTTGCGGCGTACCTCCTGTACCTCCAGTGCCCGTGTTATTGGACAGCCTCGTATAATGATGCCCTCTGCCATCCCAGAGAGGACAGCACGCTTATTTACACAGCGATGATGCGCGGGGGGTCAGCTCTGTGCCCTTAATTACCACTGATTGTTTACATGCATGAGAGATTGCAGCCTCACCGCGGTAATAAATAACAATCCGCTGGATGTGCCGTGTCACCCAACCCTGCCGTGTCTGTCCCTGAGCGCAGATCTCCTATGGAAAAATCTTGAATAGGTTCTCTTCACCACCAGTGTAAATAATACCAGAGAAATGGACCCGGAAGCACATTGTGGATGTCGTGGGTAGAGTTTGATGGTGCTAAGCATTGCTCAGGACATTAGTCATTTGCATCCTTCTTACTGTGATCTTTATATTCTGCACCCTTTGGGGGGGGGAGGGGGCACTGTGAAAGCAGGACCAACCCGTCGCAGGGCTTGCCCTGGGTCCAATAATAAGCAAGCCCCCCCATGTTTTTTTAGTTCATGGATAAGCTGTTTGCTTTCGCCTCCTTAAAAAAAGCGCTGAGAGCTGATGTGTGCTCTGCCTTGCTGGGCATATTCTGGAGCAGGCCGCCACGATCCACTCCTTCCAATGTTCTGCATTCCGGGTTTTTCCCATGGAGAAATTGGTGGGTGGGCCAAGGTGGGGGGGGGGGTTTGATTTTTCAAATAAGAATTTCCTTCATCCGAAGACAACAAGCGCTGACTCTCTATGATTCCCGTCTCCAGGGCTGAAATAAGCGACGGAGAGGCGGGTTTATTTCGAGAGCGCGGTTTGTGCCTCGTGCCGGTGAGGCGGCCTCGCCTCTGCACCGTCGGTTATATTCCTCAAACTGCGTATCCGTCAGGAGCTTGTGCCGGCTGCTTGACAAATGAACATTTTCCCTCTTGGTGTGTGCGGATGCAGAAATATAAATATGAGAATTTCTGCTTGTCAGTCGAGTTCCTAACGTCGCTTTTGCCATCTGAACTTTCATTTGTCTGGACTGAACCTGGAAGGCAGCCAGAAGTCCCTGGGATGGGGGTCGTCCCCACCGTGTAGCCAGGATGGTCTGCCCCGGGCTGAAGTTCGGCCATGTCTGAGTTACAGGACTGGCGTCTAACGGGGAGGTCGTCACGGACACGTGGAGGATACTGAGGGTCGTGACCCTGAAAAACACTGCCGGCTCTCTCTTCCTGCACTGAACATGCGTTTTATGTCTTTATGTCCCAGATAAGATAAAGTGTGTTTCTTTGGGCTTGCAGAGAGGGTCCCACTTGCATTTCTACATGCTTGTCATCTTGTTTTTGCCCCCTGTTACTATATGACGCTATAGATAGCACCCCCAGTCCACTCCAGAGGCCCAGGTAGGTGGACCCTCCCATTCCCTGCCGGCACCTGCACCCCCAGCCTGACCAGGCAAAGGGAAAGGGAAATTAGCTCCATATGAGTGTTTTTACAAAGTGAAAAGCCTCTCTGGAAGTAATTTCCCATGGAGGGGGGATACAGCCGGCTTGCAAACCTAGCGATCCAGTTGTTAGGGTGACTCTGACCCCTTTTTCGGTTCGGGGGGGGGGGGGTTTGGGTTCAGACCGCTCCATTATCACTGATTATTACAGCCTCCTGCCCCTGACCCCGTCTGTTTCCACAGTTTCCCCGTCTTTATATTCGCATATTCTGGGGGTGAAGCCAAGGTTTCTGAACAGGTGGATCCCAGTGGGTGGAGACTCGGTGACCCCTGGGGTTGGTGTTAGTAAGCGTGACATGGAGAAGCAGTGCTTTTCGTACCTTGGGGTGGGGGGTGCATTTCCAACTTCACTATCCAGTAGGCATGTAACGTTAAAAATCGATGTAAATGTATGACGATTTAAAGCGGCTGATGTGGAAAATGAATCGCTACTTTAGGAGTACTTCACAGTACTTTAACAGAAAAACTGGTGTAATATTACATTTGATTTCACGATGTGAGTTCGACGTCAGATATCACTGCATATTCACGTCGATGTCGGACGTCAGTTTTTGGTTTTGACCAAACACGAGATGGCGAGCGAATTTGAAATTGAGGACGGACTGCCGGGTGGCGCAGTGGTTAGCGCTGCTGACTCACAGCAAGAAGGTCCTGGCTTCGGTCCCGGGTCCTTTCTGTGTGGAGTTCGCACGCTCTCCCCGTTTTCGCCGGGGGCTCTGGTTTCCTCCCACGGTCTAAAAGCGTGTAGGATAGAGTGATTGAGTCTAAATTGGCCCTGTGGTTGTGTGAGTGTGTGCGCCCTGTGGTGTGTAGGCGACTGCCTGGGGTTGGTTCCCGTCTGCGTCCCTTGTTCCCGTGATAGGCTCCCCCCACGACCCCAGTTGGGATTAAGCGGATTCAGAAAATGGATGGATGGACGCACCTTCCGAACTTAAATCGATGGTGTGGCAGCATTTTAGCTTTCCGGTCACAAATGAAAACGGCGAGAAAAGCACAGACAAGACAAAAACTGCGTACAAACATTGGGATTTTTTAAAACAGTATTTTATTCAATTTCAGTTGCACTGTTAAAAAAGAGGACAGGTTTTGCACAGTTTAGAAAGATAAAGGAATATTTTTGAATAAATTTGTCTGCAGCTCATTCTGCTAAAGAATAGTGAGAAAATCGTATCGTGAACTCAGAATCGTGAATCGTATCGAATTGTGAGTTGAGTATATCATTACATCCCTACTATCCAGTGACGGCAAAGTAATTTGGTTCAACCTGGGACTGTGGGGTTTGTAAAACGCCCCTGTATTGGGAGGGGTTGGCTTGAATCGAGGCTGGATCCCTCAGTGTAAGCTGTCACTCACACGGTTATGGGGATTTTAATATAAGTAATAAGTAGGTACATGTTGAGATGCGAGGGGATGGGGTTGAATAGCCTTTGTGAACACGCATTGCATTGTTTCCATGGTAACGTGTACGCACCATTTGCGCACATGTTCAGATTTGCCCGTTTAATCCGGCTATTGTGCATGCATTGCACGTTGGGCATGTTTCGCATGCTTTGCCACACTAAAGCTCGCCCACCCGTTTGGGTGAGAGCTACAAACCTGCCTGCTTAACTAACCAGCACTAACCCCCCCCCCCCCCCCCCCCCCCCCCCCCCCCCCCCCCCCACCCCCCCCCCCCCCCCCCCCCCCGCAAGCCTCCCCTCCCCCAGCGGTGCCGGCCCCCCTCCTCCATCCCGGGAGCCTGGGTTGGAGGCCTGTCTCTTGTGGCGAGTTACTAGGGTACGGCTCTGTTGCAGCCCGCTGCTGACCCCTTTGCACCCACTGGCCGGCACTCCGTGTCTCTGGAGGTGCAGATGCAGCGGCAGCGGCAGGACGATGAGGAGTCCTTCCAGCAGGCCCAGAGACAGTACAGCTCACTGCCCAGGTAAGGCCCTAGAACCTGCTCCTTCAGCATCAGAGCTTTGTGGAAGTCTTATTTGTGTGATCTCGCTTGCTTCGATGGGTGTTAGCAGTTGGTAATATGGGCTGGTTGCCCACTGGGAGTTTCAAGTGAGTCCGGGTGAAGTCCATGACCCATGGGGAGGGTCACGGCCCCCCCTGGAAACAGCCCCCGGTCGCCTCTCGCTCGGTCTCTCCGGCGGTTTGTGTCAGGTTCCGCTTCGCCTGTTCGGCATCGCTTCAGCTGGGGAAAAGTTCTGGATTAAAATTCCTGCAACATCTCGAAAATCACCGGCGTAAAAATGTCAGTGTCTCCGGGACGACGGCGCGTGCCTCCCCCACTGCAGCGTGACATCCCGCGAACATCTGCTCTCCTCTTTTGTTGGAAATGTCAGCGCAGCCTGTCTGGGATCGCGAGGTCCCCAGCACGCCGTGCGCTACCACTGCCAGACTCAAGCCTGTTTGTTTATTTTTGCCGTCTGTGATACAGTTCTAGGTTTGGTGACTATGTGGCGTGGGCGGGTGAATGGATTTTGCTCATGTTAATGAATGAGGACCACCGTGAACCCGTCCCCCCCCCCCCGACTAGACACTTAGTGATGTGCGGTTCAGCAGGTTAAGTCACTGTGCCTTTGACTGGAAGGTCACCAGTTGAAATCCCAGGGTCAGCAGAGTGTTTTCACCCTCATGTCCCTGAGTGAGGCCCTTAAACCCCAATTACTCCAGGGATTGTCTGACTGTTTTCTTCAAAAACATCGCTTTTAGATAAAAGCATCTGCTAAATAAATAAAATGTAAATGTTAGACACGTCGCATGACAAGAAAGAGCCAGGATGTCACATTAATTTCTCCCCTGGAAGAGATCTGCTCTGCATTTTGAATGCATGAACAAAGGAATCCGTCTGGTCCAATTGGACACACTGCTGTAGACCAACCCTTCCCAGCTTCATCTTGTCCCAATAGACAAGCTATTCCTGGTGGGGGTGCTATGCGTGTTGAAAAGCCCCGACAGCACTAGAGGAGCGATGACAGAGGCCCTCGTGCGAATCCTGCCCTTCACACGTGCTCTCCCGTGCAATGGGGCCCTCGTGTCGATCCCCGATGCAGCCTGCCAGTGTTTTTTCTCAGAGATCCTAGACACAGGATGTGCGAGTCGTCTTTCGGATAATATCATCTTCACCATCTGTGTCGGGAGGTAAGCGTAGTCACTAAGGCTGAAGATCTCCCCACACCAACTTCCTGACTTTAATCGTCATGTGCAGTCATTCTTAATTTAAGCTGTGTCCGTTGTGAAGTAACGTTGGTTTTAATTAACTTTAAGTCAGCCTCCATGTAATTATTAATCTTGGCTTTAAAAATAAAAAGGTAAGGAAACATCCCTCTGCGACCCAGAATAGGACAAGCGAATACAGAAAATAGATGGATGGAAATATCCCAAGAATTAAAGAGCAGATTGATGTGCTTCTCACTTCCATGACGTGGTGTTTTTATTCGTGGGATTCTCAGTTTCGTTTTAAGGATGAGGATGTAGGGGCTAAGGGCTCGCTGTGCCCTTAAGGGGCTCTAAGTTTCTTCGGAGCACCTGCATTTGACTGTCTGGGCCGTGGGGGACGGACAAGTTAGAAGACTGCCCCCGGTGGATGGAGGAGGCTTCACACCCACATGCTCTTATCTGTGTGAAACTGCATGTGAACTCTGTTTGCTAGTCTATGGAAGCTTAGAGGCTGATCTCCGCTACACCAGTCTATTACTGGACTGAACTTGGACTGGCTTTCCAGTCTCCTGGTTCGTTGGTATTAGCAGCCCATTGGAGGAATCACATGCTGTGACCTTTTCCTATGCCCGCGGAGGTCGCCACAGCAATTGCATCAAGCAGTGAGCGCACTGCATGCGACTACACTGCATGGCAACCGCATCACACAATGAATGCACCACATGGCGACCGCATCACACGGCAACCATACGGCATGGGGACCACATCACACAGTGATTGCCCCGCACAGCGACCACAGTGCACGGCGACCCGCACCTCATGACAACCACACTGCATGGTGACTGCATTGCATGGCAACCACACTGCATGGTGACTGCATTGCATGGCAACCACACTGCATGGCGATCACATCACACAGCAACCGCATTGCGTGGCAACTGCATTACACAGTGACTGCACTGTATGGCAGCTGCATCACACCTTGACTGCACCATGTGGCAACCGCTCTGCTTTGCTGTGTTTCCTTTCACCGGCGCATCAATCTTGCATGAGGGGAGTCTGTGCAGAGGAAAATTTATGATTGTACCATGTGAGTCTGTGTCCTCGTCTGGGTGGGGGTGGGGGGGGGGGG